AGGAAGAATAGAGGCAACATCATGTTTATTCTTCATCAAATACATTCATGTTAACCGAGTGCGGTCATCAATAAACGTAACAAACCAACGGAAACCATGAGAAGTCATACGAGCGGAACCCCAGACATCAGAATGTACTAACTCAAAAGGCAAAGCAGCTTTATTATTACTTAAGGGAAAAACAGTACGGTGGCTCTTGGCCATTACACAAGTCTCACATTTGAAACTAGACTCATCACACGAACTAAATAACGAAGGAAACAAATGTCTAAGATAACCAAACGACGGATGTCCTAAGCGACGATGCCATAACCAAAGTTGTTGCTTGTCTTTGACACTGCCACTCGGAGCTTTATTAGCGACACAACCACGAACTGCTGCTGCCGGCAACTGTAAGTAATACAACCCCCCTATCCGTTTACCATGCCCAATCTTCTCGTGAGTTCTGAGATCCTGAAAAAAACAATGGGTAGAATAGAAGGTAGCAGACGCGTTAAGTGTATCAAGTAAACGCCCAACAGATAACAAATTGCAATGAATATTGGGGACCAGGAGTGCATGAGATAGAGGTAAAGAAGGAGTGAGATGGATGGTACCTTCACCAGTAACTGGGGAAGGTAAACCATTAGCACTAGTAATATAGGGGTTACGAGGGTTATGCGACAACTCATCAAACATTTTATCATTATAAGTCATATGATCAAAAGCACCAGTGTCAATTATCCAAGTAGTAGAACCCATACCTGGCATAGTATCAGAAGCACACAGATTTGCAGATGGAGCCGGAGGACGGACCTAGTAGAAGAACCAAACTTTCTGGACGGAGAGCGACCGGTCGCGTCGTGCTGGGCGACCGGTCGTTGACGGACTGGGTCAACTTTGAGAGCCAGCGATCCTCCTCCAAGCATAGCGGACTGACGGGTGTCTTCCTCCATAACCATAGCATAGGCTTCGAGAGGAGGCGGGACAGGACTAAGAGCAAGAATACGGCTATGGACACCATCATAAGGTGGATCAAGTTCGCCAAGAAAATTATAAACTCGATCGGCTTCAATCTCTTTCAAACGACGAGCCCCATCAGTAGAACAGCTAAACTCATGCGGACGCAGACAATCAATCTCTTGCCAGATAGCATGGAGTTTTTCATAGAACACTTTTACAGATTCACCATTCTGACCTGTAAGTATGGACTGCCGCCGTAGTTGAAACAAACGAGAGCTATTCTGAGTCACAGTATAGGTCTTCCGAGCAGCCTCCCAGATATCAAAAGCAGTATCACCATGTTCAGACAAGGCACGAACTGGTTTAGTCATGGAATTGAGAAGCCATGACTGCACCAGACAATTATCTTCTTCCCATTCGGCATAGGCATCGGACTCTAGAGACGGAGCAGGCTTCTTTCCATTGATCCAACTTGCCATACGACGACTAGTAATTGTAATACGCGCACCACGAGACCAAGAGGCATAATTGGAGCCATCCAATTTGTTAGAAGTAATCTGGGTAGAGTAATCACGCGGCGAATGTGCCTCCTTCGGTGTAGACACACTAGTACCAACCACAACCTTGGAATCATCACACATGATAGTAGTGGAAACAAACACAACACAAAGCACAAACACAGCACAGGTACAGGCACAAGAACCCTAAAAGAAATTAGGGCACACAGTAGAACACGGGTGGGCACAACACACACAGGTCACCAAAAACCTGGCTCTGATACCAAGTCAAACAATATGGTAGAATATTTTCAGATCTTATTTCATTCTCCGAAATGAGGTATTTATAATACAAGATTACAAATCCTAGTAGGGTTGAATTAGGAAATAAGAGGAATCCTAATTACATAATATCTATACAAAAGGAAAAATAAATGAAACCCAAATAGAATAGGATATATCTCGCCAACAAAATCACTAGTATACCCTGAACACAAATGAAAGCAAAAGAAAAGGTGAAAACCACAGGAGGAGGCCAAGAGATTATGGAATTGAGAAGTTTCCCTGAAGAGGAGAATTGTTGGGTAGGGTAAGTTTCTCTTTCTCACTGCTTTTTTTTTCTTTGTCTTTCTGAATTTCCGGAACGTTGGAATTTTCTGCACAAAGTCTCCTCTAATAAATGGTTTTCCAAAATAGTCAGATTCTTAAGGTGGGGTTGTTGGTTTGATGATGGAAGAAGAAGGTGGCTTTCCAAAATAGTCAGATTCTTGAGGTAGGGTTGTTGGGTCGATGATGGAAGAAGAAGGTGGAGTTGGGATCGATGCTGGATGAAGAACCCAAAAGTACGCTTTTACCCCCTCATTTTGATGGACAAATTGGCAGAGTTGGATGGTTAGACCCAATTGGAACTATTTGTCGAGTTAACGGATGTAATTGCCTTAACAAAAAGTTTGAGGACCCAATTACAACTGGAGGCAAAGTTGAGGGACGTCTATAGTTAAAAACCCTGCAATCAGTAGAGGAAATTTGAAGTTCGGTCTCTTTCAATAGTTGATCGACTGAAATGACGGAGGGGTCCGGGGCTACGACACATTGGGATAAGTGCAATCCTAGGCATCCACTCAGTTTTTATTATAAAAAAAGTATTGTGATGTTATTAAATAACCTATATTAATTAATTAATTAATATATTTATTGTACCACATGGTGCCCTACCCAGCTAAATCACATGTGTCCTCCACGACTATGCCTCGTTGTTGCAAACCCATTCCCAAAAGGTTTGTTATTATATTACTTTTTTTTTATTACAAAAATCGCTAATGAGTTTTTTTCTACAGACAACGCTGGTGAGTTTTTCTCTCAAACTTTATATTATCAAGTTTTAATTAGGTTGATTCATTTAATTAAAATTTGTTAATCTTTCTCTTATCTTCAATGGTTTTCTCTCTACATATGATTTTTTTCAGTTTGTGAAAATTTGATTTTATTTATTTTAATGCGTCTTTTAATTAATTTATATGCAACAAGGTTGTTATGCAAAACGATTATAAAATATGAAAACTCGTCGAGGATAATTATAATTGTAATGAATAGACAATATAATTTTTAATATTTTAGTATGTATTTGTGAGTATATTCTGTGAGAGGCATAAAATTCTAACTGAGAGGGTTAGTATAGTTCAAAGCTCTCTTCTTTAATTGATCCGTTTCTTGACAAACATGCAACACCTCTGTTCCCACTCGCGTTTCTTGTTACAGCAAAAAGTTTGCCGTCAAAAGCAAACGGACCCCAAATAGGCCCCACCATTACATCTATCTACAGTGAGTTCTCTGAAGTTGCTTGAAAGTTCAAATTAAGCTTTCTACCATTGCGCATGATGCATGTTTTGTCTGCTTTCTTCTGATTCTTCATGAGGTGGCAGATCAATTAAAAATATAATTTATTCTAGAACACTTGAAAGAGATAGTTTTAAACCATGAGATGTGGTGTGGTGGTAGCTCACCTCATTCCTTAACTATGAAGTTGGGGGTTCGATCCTCGTCCATGGGAATGGAGCGCATTTCATGGCCAGCCGTTTACCTCCATTGGGAGAGCTTCCGCGGCGAAAAGGATTAGTCACTGCTGTCGGCGGTGGATACCCTTGGGTCTCACCTAAAAAAAAAAGATAGTTTTACACCAATATATATGCTATCAACATCATGCAATCCTTTATTCACACTATATCTGGGTATCAATCTATTGACAAAGAGTAGAAAGATGTGCGCATCCGAGGCTAGATTCCCCTTGGTGTTTAAAAAAATAAAAAGCTGGTAAAAAATATTAATTTGCTTTTTAAAGTTACAATCGAAATAGTTTCTACATACGTGCGTTTTACTTTTTGTCCCATGATCATTCAAATTCACATTTAGATTTTACGGTCTAAGTTTGATTTACTAATTTCTGTCTGTTAGTTTATTGATCTACTAAAACGTTCTTTATGATTTCTCCACTCCATGTTAAATTTCAGAAAAATATGTGAGCGACCCGCTACTAGCAGCACCGATATTGCCTACAGCTTATCATTTACATAAACCAGTAAGTGTGAAGTTTTATAACAAAAAACCGAGTGATATTAGTAATGAAACCACACATTATATATTGTATTTTATTTAGACTATGCATGAGCAGACTAGCTAGTAGCAAACAGTAAACATGCCATGTCTCTTTCTCACTCATAACAATCAACAATTATTCATGCAAGTGCAAGTAATTTTGGTCAACTTGTGATCAGAAGGATAAGCTTAATAACAAGCTAGCCCAAAATTCGAAGCGTTTTTAGTGTTGGCAAAGAAGTTTTATTGCATGATCTACATTTATACTGAAGGTGCTGAGAATTTTTATTCCACAAGCGCTAATTATGCATTTGCATTGTTACCCTAATTTAATCAATATTCTCTTGCCATGTTGGCATCACCTGGAAGAACAAATCCATGTCCATGTCCCCTATATCATAGAACGTTAAGGATGGTGATGATAAAACTTCCTCCTCCCTCAAGTAGTTAACTGGATAGTTACTTTGGACCTTCAATTGAAATGGTTCGGTCCAAAAATCTCCGCTCGATTCATTAAACCAACTCATAGTAGTAGATGCAGATGCCTGATTGGAGCTCAGGGAGGAGGAGTCACTGGAAAATGTTTCGGGGGACAAGGGAGAGCTCTCCAAAATTTGGTGAAGAGAAGCATCAAATTTTGGACCACTTTGAGCTCCTAATTCTGTGTTTTGGCTAGTTACAGTTGGGGAAGACTCGTGCTTACAAGGCTGCTCTTTGGCTAATTGAGATGATGTTGGATTTTGCTTTGTGAGATTCTTAATGCGGGTGTGCCAATGATTTTTGATTTCATTGTCTGTTCTTCCAGGTAATTTTGCAGCAATCTGTGACCATCTGCAAAGGACAAAAATTCGTAAGACTTTACTCATAAGACCTTTAATTTATGTTCCAATAGAATATTATAGTTGTAGAAGTACACTAGCTACCTATATTGTAGCTAGTGGGTTTCAAAGTCATGAATTGAAGAGGAAATATATATCTAAGCCATACTTGTTTCCAAATTCTTCATGCAATTTGAGGATCAAATCGTCTTCTTCTTGAGTGTAATTTCCCCGTTTTACACCCGGTCGAAGGTAGTTGGTCCATCTCAGTCTGCAACTTTTGCCACACCTAGATATACCTGTGATCATATGCAAAACCAGGCTGCAATTATATGTGTTGCTTTATGTGTTCTTATGATTCAAAACAATATTGGAATTGAGAAAATTATCTGCAAACTTACGCACCGGCAAATTTGGGAAGCGAACGCCAGTTCAAATGGCCATGTTCTTCAATATAGGCTCTTAACGTGTTGTCTTCTTCAGGACTCCATGCCCCCTTCTTCACTCCACTTTTGTCGTAGAATGGGGCTCTTACCATCTCTCTCTCTCTCTCTCTCTCTCTCTCTCTCTCTCTCTCTCTCTCTCAAGTCAAGTTTCTCTCTCTCTCTCTCTCTCTCTCTCTCTCTCTCTCTCTCTCTCTCTCTCTCTCTCTCTCTCTCTCTCTCTCTCTCTCTCTCTCTCTCTCTCTCTCTCTCTCTCTCTCTCTCTCTCTCTCTCTCTCTCTCTCTCTCTCTCTCTCTCTCTCTCTCTCTCTCTCTCTCTCTCTCTCTCTCTCTCTCTCTCTCTCTCTCTCTCTCTCTCTCTCTCTCTCTCTCTCTCTCTCTCTCTCTCTCTCTCTCTCTCTCTCTCTCTCTCTCTCTCTCTCTCTCTCTCTCTCTCTCTCTCTCTCTCTCTCTCTCTCTCTCTCTCTCTCTCTCTCTCTCTCTCTCTCTCTCTCTCTCTCTCTCTCTCTCTCTCTCTCTCTCTCTCTCTCTCTCTCTCTCTCTCTCTCTCTCTCTCTCTCTCTCTCTCTCTCTCTCTCTCTCTCTCAAGTCAAGTTTGTTTTAGGTGATCAAAATGACACTCTGGCATATTTATACACTCCAAAATCAAAATGCCTCATGCTTATCAATATATCAGGGATTGATGTGACCAAATTTTCCAACTCAATAATTGCATCATTTTTACTATGAGGGTAAATTAAAGAAAGAAAAACAAAAGGGCTTCGAAGATGCATCTTTTGATATAATATGCGTGCGTATTTTAAGCGTAAAGAGCGGCCCTATATATAGAAGATGCAGTGAAAATGTTTTCAATTGATTATATAAAAAAAATAGGATCACGATGAGAGTGGACAAAAAGTGTCACATGAAACGGGAAGGAAGGGCCAATTCAATAGGAAAAGTGCAGCACTACGATTTGGCCACATATTTTTTTGTTTATTTTCTCTAACTTCATTATTACAAGTGCTTTTCTTGGTGGTTGTCTAGAATTATAATAATTATTTTTTCATTCTTATGGAGACTGTTGATTTCATCATGGATACATCTGCGTCATGGGAAGACCGACTATGACCAAAACTTAAAAAGTAAAATCATCGTTTCATTCATGAGACGATTTTCTGAAATTGTTATATGTAAGTTTATAAAATGCCTAGTTAAAATTTACTTTGAAACGTCTGTCTCAAGTAAATTAGGCTAGATAAATTTTCATTTTTCAAAGTGGATTGATTAAAAAAATAAACGGTTCGAATAATTGAAATATAATATGAGTTGATCTCTTAAAGATATCGCTCAAATAAGTGGATCTCTCAATTGAAATTCTTTGACCCTTTAGTTTGCGAAAATGATTGGATGGGAAATCATTTCCCAAGTTGTCTCCTAAGGGATGGGAAAATTGAAGATTCATTTATCATGTTTGGTAATGCTGAAAAAGTAACTAAGAAATACCACTTTATTTCATTTCCAATATTTGGTTTGTATATGTATGAAAATCAATTTTTTTTTTTTAATTTTCCAATTAAACCCTTGTTAGAAATATGAAATAAATAAAGTACAAAATATAATACCAACAGTCTTTGTTGTTGGATAAAATTATAATTTTAAATTGTTAATGGGGACAAATTAATCATGAAAAACATGCATTTAATGCTGGCCTTGGTTTTTTATGGGAAGGGAAAATGAAATTCAAGGGAGATGAAGGGTTTTTTTATTTTCCCCATCTTCAATCATGTGTCACGAAACCATTTCCTATGTATGACCAATTTCAAATGATTTCTCAATCTCAAGCCTCTTTTCACACTCTATATATATAAATAGCATATACAAAGGTTTCATGGATGGATCCATGATATGATAGGCAACATGGGGAGCATCTTATCTTGATTCTTGTCCCTTGTAAATGTTTCCATAATTAACTAATTAATTAAATAACCATGGAAGGTGAAATAAATAATTCATAAAATATTAATTTGAGGAAGATGACATCACATGTTGTGATGATGAGTATGATGCTTCCATGAAAGGACTGTATACATATTTCGACAGCAAGTGACGTAGAAGAGGCGATGTCATCAATGGTTGGACCTAGAAACACTAATTTTACGATATCAAAATTGTCGGTTTTGTTTAGCGATCGTTAATTTTAATTATAATATTAGTACGTTTGTTTCTCCGAAAAGATAACGTGGTTTCATTTCACACTCCATTGACTTGAAATTTGAATAACTCGGTTTGAATTGAAGCACGTGTAGCACAGGTCAATGGAAATTTGTTGTTCTGTCATAGCTCATAACAATTCTTTATATAAAAAGGCTTTATGTTAGTAGATATTAATTATACAAAGTGTTTAATTAATTGTTTTTTTGGTACAATTAATTGTTATAAACAAATTTTGTACAAAAATTTCACTTGTTTCAAAGTAAATAATACGTCTGCTCAACACTACAAAAAAATTTAATTGTATTTTACAATGTAATTTCGTACTTAAAACAAAATAAATAAATGACTCTGGTTAATACGTTTTTATGTTTATTAATTTATTACTCCTTTTATCTTTTTGGGTCAGTCTTTGATTCCTTTTTCTTTCGATTAGTCTTTAACCCCTTTTTCTTTTTTAGTTGGACGACCATATCCGCAAAGATAAGCTTATGGGTGGAATCAGATATATTTTGATGGGTGGGCTAGTTATATTTTTTTGCTTAAATTCTAATATTTTTTTTCCATTGATTAGTTTTCATTAAACTTTATTATAAGACAAATACATATTAAATATAATAAAAATATACATATTATCAAAATGAATGTATGCTCGACAAATATAATTCAAAGTGTTTCTATTCAAGTTGTGGCCTGCGATCATTAAGAGAATTGAATTTTTTGTCATTGAAAATAAATAATTAAGTTTCACATATATATTAGTTGTAAACACAAGAAGAATAGGATTAGGTTAACATATTATTCTGTTTTTGAAAACCTCTTATCATTATTTACTGCGTCTGTAATTTTGAGTTGAAGGACTTGTGAGGGATTTTATTGAGTCTAATGTTAAAGGACTTTATTTTTTATTTTTTATTTGGTGAAAAAAGGATAGCCCTTGCCAATTTAAAAAAAACAAAACAAAAAAACAAACAAAGCTGCTAAGCAATTAGGAGGAGAGGATTTCGCTCAAAGCAAAAGGCAATAGACTTGGAGGCATATGAATCACGTGGATTATATAACATGAACATTGATTAAATCATGTGATTAAAAATAATCAATTATGGCGGCTACATATAAGGTTAAAACTATTACTATTCTCAGTCAAAATAATATTTTCCTCCCTGATAAATTGATAATTTCTATGCCATCAATTGGTGATAGGATACGACAAGTGTTTGACAAGGTAATCGACATATACGACAAGTCGCAAATATAACAGCGCACTGAAAGCCAAACGCTATTATTAACCATTAACCCATTAACTATTAACCGAGGACTTGAGAGGATAAAATTGTCCAATGCGGAAAAGCCCTAATCATATGAAATGATCTTGTACTTAATTTTATCATTTTGATTTGCGCACTCAACACAATATGTACTGAATTATGTTCATGTCATTTCATGTCGTGTTAATTTTATCTCGAATCAGATTTAATACATACACAAGTACAATTGCGTATGTTTAGATTCGAGTGCTAATTTCTTTTCCCTGATTGGTTACATATTATATTCACTAGCATTTTGTTTAGTGGTAGATTTTCTCCATTTGATTGGAGGAGGTATCTTATGGTAGTATAGCTTCATTATGTGTGGATTTTCTCATTGTAAATATCCTTATAATTTGTTTTTATAATTTATATTTAAAAAAAATAAAAAAGCAAAACACATAATAACAATAAATAAATAATCATTTGAATTATAATTGACAATTGGTACAAATTAAATAATAATGAGCCAATTAATGGCTCTAAGAGTCCTTGGCTTAATCAACAATAATGATCCTTAATTATGCCAATAGAGTTGCTCATCATCTAGTATGATTTTCCCTATATATAACTGAGATTTGTATATGGTTGAGCAACCACATTATATTATTTGGGATGTTTTGATTGTACTCTCTCCTTCTATCCTCCTTCTCTCTTTCTTCCTAATAAAATCATCCCATCATACGAATAAACCAGATTACCTCTCCCCATACTTGTGGATATACTATTAATTGGTGCTTTGGGTTTAGGGGTGTTTGGGAGACATTGTGACCATATGTCTTGATGAAAGTTGAGCGGGATTTGCTTTTCCACTTGTAGGTATTCTCTATCCCCAACTCCCAAACTAGTAGAGAGTTCTATCTCTCATATGATCTTCTTACACAACATCGAATGCAATGGCTTTATGGATCCTTTTTCAATTCCTAGTGAGCTGGGTCTTCAAGACGTAAAATTGTTTTTGCTCATTGTCTTGCAATATTTATGTTTATTGTTTGCCCTTTGTGGGGCTATATTCTTGTAATGCCCTTTTATTAATGAAATTACTGAGGCTATAAAAAAATATATATGATGTGATTGGTTAATTATCTATGCGATTAACTCTCAAAATCTCACAGGATATTATCATATATGGAACTCTTAGCTCTACACACCCTAACATCAAAGGAATGTTACTGTTTGATTTATATTATGAACTATATTTTATATTTTATTTTCAGGAAACTTATATATATATATATATATATATATATATATATGTGTGATTTGAGATATTTAAACCAGAAAAACGTAATAAAATGCATGCATTTCCATTCCAAAAGACCTCCAAGCATAAAATTTGAAATCAGATAAGCTGATTTCATGTTGTGTGTTACAAGAAATCTCAATCAAACAGTGGATAGAAAAACTCGGAATCCATGGAGGGAGTCAAAAGACCACATGGGATGTAGGAGGTATCAGCCAAAAATGGCTCGGTCCAGAAATCATCGCCGAACTGAACATCTGCATATGCTTCCATGGAACTAATAACATTGTCCTCTTCCACATAATTAACCCAATTATCATTATTCATGCTGCTTAAAGCAACCGCGGCATTGTCTGTGGTCAAGGACGAGACT